GGGGAATCGTGAGGTCGCACTGAGACAGCCCAGGTGCCGCACAGAGCAAGGCTCCTGCTCCGTGGCCAGTAAGTGGTAACCGCCTGTGGTTATCATCTTTCCACAAGCTTGCTTTGCACCCCCGCCAGCTTCCAGGCCCCAGGTGCAGATACTGTGACTCAGTCTCTGACCTAAAGGAGTTCCAGGTCTGCTGGGGAGACAGACCCTAAAGGAACGCACTGCAACACAAGTTAAGTGTAGTGACCAGACACGCCCAGGAACGTGGGAGAACAGAGGAGGCTTCTTGACAGAGGTGACTTTTAAGGGCTGTCGGTCTATTTAAGCTTTCACCACAACCCTATAAGGAAATATTATTATTCCCATTTTACAGACCAGAAAATGGAGACACAGAGAAGTCAAGTTCAGGGGGGAAGATCAGAGGAGAGAGGTGGGAAGAACTAAGGGGAAATCAGATCGATGCAGAAGGTGGAGGTAAAGGAGGGAGAAAGATGCCAGCAAGAGGCGAGGAAGGAAAGGGCGTTGAGAAGCACTGCTCAGATCAAAGCCCGGGCCTCAGGTCACCTGGGGTGTTTTCAACATTCAGATTCCTGGGCCCTACCCCAGATATGCTGAATCAGTATTTCCAGTTGGAAGGACCAGGAATCCGTATATTTAGCAAACCCACTGGATTAGGGCTGTGGCCTCTCCCAGGCACCAGGTTGGTGAATTGGCACTGAGAGGGATGACGGGTTTGCGGCTTCTCTGCAGATCTCACCCACATATGGAGACCCCACAGGAGGCCACCCAGAGGAGCCACATACCAGGCAAGCCAGTTCTCTGCGAGATGCACCCAGGGAAGACAGGTTGACTGGACTCCCCAGGTCCCAGCAACATAAGCATCAGCCCCTCTTTTTGGAAAAGAAGAAAGAAGATCCCAGGAGGCTTGGGCCTCCCCAGAGCATGTGGGAACTAGAGGGGGAGGAGCTTCAGCAAAACCAGGAGAAAGGAGCTCCAAGGACGGGGATGTGCCTGGAGAACTCAACACCTAGCATCCAGGGACAGGGGAAGGGGGCCAAAGGGACTCTGAAGGAGCTGATAGGGACAGATACTGAGGGCAGGGGGGGTTTGCTGAGTGCAGAGGGCCAGAGAACAATAGATGGGACTTATGAAGGGGAAGCAGAGAGGAGTCAGATCCATAGGCTGCTGGCCTCCAGCCCCAAAGAGATGATAAGGGATGCAGTGTCAGGGAGCCCTCAGGGCGGGAAAGTGCCCAGCATCCCGAGGGGGTTCTGGGTCCTTCAGGGCCTGGAAACAAAGGAAGGCTCCACCACGGAGAAGCCCCAAGAGCAAATAGGAGTGACCAACGCAACCAGGAGGGAGGAACAAGCAGAGATGGCCTTGCAGGATGTGGTCCAGGTGAGAGCAGTTGAGCTCTGTACCTGTCTCTGCTCCCCATCTCTAACCTAGCCCACAGGTGGGTGTCTTCAAGGATGGCCCAGGGCCATTCCAGCCCACAGACCAATTTGCATTGGGCCACACAGGATCATTATGACCTGAGGATGCCTTTTGGAAGTTCTCCAGTTCATCACATGAAGAACACGCATTCTTCAGTTTACCGCAATACCCACCTCTCCCTATTGCCTCACACCAGGCCCACTTTGTTCATCCCGCCCAGCCCCTGTAGGCATCTGAGTTTGTAATCCCTTCCCAACAGTTCTTCGGGGCAGTTGCTTGTTCTCAAGTTCCATAGCCCTCATTATTGGCAGGTTTCTTCCCAATATCTAGGCTCTGCTGTTGCAGGCCCTACCTAATTGCTCCTGTAGATGTTTCTACAGGAAACATTTCAAGCCTTCCTCCAGCATCCTCCCTAGCCTGAGTCTTCCAGATCCTTGAGGTCTGTAACTTCCATCCTTTAGCGAAGGAAGAAATGGTGGCTCCAGGCTCACCCAGGGGCAGAGCCAAGCACCACAGCTCCCAGCGCTGTTCCCAGTCCTGCTCTCCACCCAAGGGCTGTTTCACATGGCCTGGGGTCTCACGGGGGTGTTTGTCAGGTCAGGCACTGGGCTGGGGTCTCTGCCCTCCTCCTTCAGCTTCCAGTTCCCCTCCTTTTACCCTCTCCCTGCCCTCAGAGTCTCAGACATGGGCTCCAGAAAACCAAGGAGCAGGCCCAGCACCAGGAACAGCTGCTGAAGGAGCAGGAAGGGGAGCTGAAGGCACTGCAGGAACAGCTCAGCAGGTAACCTAGGCAACCACCAGTGCCACAGGGCATGGGAGCCAGGAGGCCAGGGGGGCAGGAGGCTTACATTCACGGTCACACCAGCAAGCGTCTTCTGAGCACCTCCCGTGCACCAGGCCATGTGCGGGCACAACTTTGGCATGCCGTGCATACAGGAAACTGTTCCCACCCTTAGGGTGTTCCTGCCCCCCACCCCTCCCCTCTGCTTTGCCAGCCCCCTCCCTCACTGGCCTCCCTCAGTAGCCCCAGGAGAGGTTTATGCATCCCATCCCTCCCTTCCCTCCCACACTCACCTTTGCGCCTTTCTGCTGCCTCTTCTGGGCTCCCCTCTCTCTTTTTTGTCCACGCAGCCTCCCTCTCCCACCACACTCCTGCCCCACTATCTCTCTCAGTCTCCCTCTTTGCCTCTTATTTTCCTGTTCTCTATTGTACAGTCGCTCTTTCACCCTCTTGGTTACAGTAATCATAACTATCATCACTGAGCACTTACTATGTCCCTGGCACTGTTCCAGGTGCTTCCTGGTAACAATCTCAGGAGATCGGTCCTCCAAGAACCCCCATTTTATAGATGAGGCGGCTAAGGCTCAAAGACCCACCTAACTCACCCAACATCAGCTAGTTAGTAGAGGAGCTGAGATCCAGACCCTACAACTGACTCCAGAACCATTGGGCCTAAAAGCTGCCCCATCAGCCAGTATCCCCAGTGCTGGTATGTCAGTCTCCTGTCTCTCCCCTCAGCCTCTCTCAGCATCTGGCATCTTCATCCTCCCACCATCACATTCACCTCAAGGGTCCAAAGCGCATGTTTTGTCTCTGTGTTCCCCCCTCAGTCTCTCAGCGTCTCAGTTTCTTTGCCATAATTTATTTTTAAAGAAATTATGACACCATGCAAAAATCTTCCTTGGTCTGACTCAGTTTCTCTGTGTGTCTCTCCCTTGGTCTCCACGTGCCTCAGTCTGCCCGCCTGCCTGGTCTCTCCCACTTGACTGACACCTGCCCTGACCCCCAGGGGAGCCTGCATAGCTGTGATTCAGACTGAATCACAGAGCTGTCTATTGACTGCTTAGTAGGCTGAGAGAGGCCCCGGGGCCCAGGAACCAACCCCAAAAGGCCTCCGGGAACTCCTCCCACCAGACTGTCAGCTGAGTCCTGTGGTTTGGTCAGCAAAGAATCCCATGATTCAGGCCCTAAGTGAGTGCAGGGGCCTAGCCCACTCAAGGCCATCTCTGGGAATCAAAGCAGGCTGGAAGGAGAAGCCAGGAGGCTCCAGGGAGACTGCCCAGCCCCAGGCTGCTCCCTGAGGCTGGGAGAGCCCTTGTTTCACAGACCCCTGTCCTGCCCCCATCATCCCGTCCATCATTCGGTCGTTCCACAGACACTCGGAGCCAGACCTGTTCTATGTGCTGAAAATACTCTCATGGACAAAACAGATAAAATGCCTGCCCTTTTGGAGCTTACATGCCAGTGGGGGAGGCAGTTGATAAATACAAGCAAGTAAAATACATAGGATGCAGATTGTGATAAGCTCTAAGAAGAAAAAAATAAAGCAGGGAAGGGGAATGGGAAGTGTCAGGGGTGACATTTTAGATGAGGTGGCATGGCCAAGGGGGCCTCCCTGGAAAGGTGACATTTGAGTCAAGACCTGAAGGAACTGAGATGTGAAACGTTTGGATATGTGGTCGAGGAGTGTTCCAGGCAGAGGGAACAGCAAGGGCGAAGGCTCTGCAGTGGGAATGGGCATGGCATCAAGGACGCCACTGTAGCCCCAGTGGAGTGAAGGAAGGGAGGGCTGTAGAAAAAGGTCAGGTGGGTAACAGGAGACCCTAGCAGGTCATCAAAAGGACCTTGGCTTTGACTTGACTTTGAACCACTGAGAGTCCTGAGCAGAGGAGGGACATGATGTGACTGTCTGCATGTTAAAAATATATTTCTCTGCTTTGAAAAAACAATTCAGTGGTTTTTAGTGTATTCACAAAGTTGTGCATCCATCACCACCATCAATTTTAGAATATTTTTATCACCCCAAAGAGAAACCCTATACTCATTAGCAGTCACTGCCCATCTCTCCCCAACCCTCCAGCCCTAGGCAACTGCTAATCTGCCTTCTGTCTGTGTGGATGTGCCTATTCTGGGCTGACATGTGATTCAAGGACTCACGCCTGCTGCTCTGTCGAGCTGGTCTGTAGGCTAGCAGGGGTGGAAGCGAGGAGACTGATGATGAAGGGGAGCTGGGATGCACTGGTGGCAATGGAGGCGTCACGGAGCCGCTGGATCCTGGATCCAACGTGGGGTCGGGCTTCCCGAGGGATGGGTGTGGGGTGTGAGAGAAAGAAGGAAGTCAAGAATGACTCCGAGTCTTCGGCCTGACCGACTGGAAAGGTAGAGTCACTGTGTGGCAGAGCAGGTCAGCAGGGAAGGCTCAGGCACTGGATTAGGAGCCTGCTAAGTTCAAGACCCCTGTTAGACTCTAAGTGGATCCTTGGGTGGGCGGCTGAGTGTGGTGTTGGGGAGAGAGGCTGGGCCGGGGGGACCCACCAGAGAGTCATCGGAATGCGGTGGTAAGTTACAGAAGCCCCTGACGTCTAGACAAGAATGCGTCCCCTGCCTCCTGGGATCCAGGGAACTTAGACAAACCCCTCACCCCTGGGAAAGGGGCCGTGGGCTTCGAGCTGGTGATGGTATCTCACCACCAGCGAAGAGAAGGGCCACGGGGGCCCGGACAGTTAACGAACAGTATTTACTGTGCCTCTGCTATGGCCACGTTGGGGGACAGAAGGGAACACAACAGGCAATGTCTGCTCTCACAGACCTAGGGAGACGTAGGGAGACAGACAATAGCTCAACAAATGGAAATACGATGTCAGGTGGTCATGGGCCCTGTGGGGACTAGAGAGAGAGAGAGACAGGAGAATCATCTAGAATTGGAGTCAGGGAAGCCTTGTCCGAGGAGGTGACATTTGAGCAGAAATCCCAACCACAGGAAGAGCTGAACCATGCAGGTGTCTCAAGAGGAGTGCTCCAGGCAGGGGGACCGGCAGATGCAAAGGCCCAGGAGACATGAGCCTGGGGACAAGCAGGCCTGTGGCTGGAGCAGAGGCTCCCACGTGGTGGAGAATCAGAGGGCTCTCGTAGTCTGACCTGGGTTTCTGAAGGACTGCTCTGGCTGTGGTGTGGAGAATAGACTTAAGGTGGGCAGGGATGAAGAGCCCCAGTCTAGACACAAAGGTGAGACACAGCAGGCCCCAGAGCAGACCAGCTGGCAGCTATAAAAATACACTTGGGCTTCTGATACCCACGCCCCGGCTGTCTGGCTGTGGGGCGCTAGGACACTGACCTTCCCTCTTCGGCCTGAGGTCCCTGATGTGCAAAAGGAGATGGTTGGATCTCTTCCAGCTCACATGATCTGTGAGACCATCTTTCCAAGCAAATGGGTTTCCTCTGCCCTCTGGGTTAGACCTCAAAGCAAAAGGGATTAGGACAGGTACAAGTGGAAGGTCCTCAGATGGGGAATTAGGCAAACATCAAATCTTCCCCCCACCTTGGGTGGCAGCATTGAGCTCCTTGGAGGCATGCCACAGGACCATAAGTATCCACCCCTCTCTCCTACCTGCTACCCACTCAGCCCTGGTGCCACAAACCACCGGTGATCAGGGCCCTGCATGGATGCAGGTGTGGGGAGGCAAGAAGAGATTAGAGCTGGACAGGCCTGCATTCAGATTTTTGCTCCCCTCACTTATCAAGCTGTGTGACCCTGGGCAAGTGTTGCTCCCTCTCTGAAGCTCTGTTTTCTTTCCTGTGAAATGATGATCATATCACCTGTCCCATAAATTTGTGAAAATTCAATGGAACAAGGCTAGAAAGCACTAAGCTCAGTGCCGGGCACCTAGTAGGTACTCAGTAGACTTTAATTCCTTCCATGTCCTCTCCTGCCCTAAGAGTGTCTGTCACCCCCCATAAATACTTTAGATACTTAAAATGCTTCAATGGCTTCCTTTGCACTGTGATCAAACTCCACTCCTCCTGGGGCCCCTGAGGCACCCTGCCCACCTCCCACCTTGCCTCCTGTCTCCCCAGCCCTGCCCTTCACGGAACTACAGTGTCACTAGCCCTTCTTGCATTTCCTCAAACAAGCCATGTTCTTGCCAACTTGCGGAACTTTGCATGTGCCCTTGGCTGGCTTTACACGGCTACCTCCTCGTCTTTCAGATCTGCTTAAATGTCGCCTTGTCTAAGAAGACCTCCTGAGCATCCCCTCAACTCTGCATCTTGGCCCCTCCTTTGTCACTGTCACACAATTATCTTACTGGTTTATCACAAAGAAACACACTAACCACAGTGGTCACATTAGGGCCTGGCCACACCAGAGACCCTGGGATCACTGGGCAAGTAAACTAGCTTAGGAAAATGAAATCCTGATACTAAGAAATGAAGAGGCTGAAGACTAGAATGTTCGTTAAAAGTCACTTCTCCCTAAGGCTGCAGGAACTGGCCTTTTTGGAATTTTGGTGGCTAGCTGTGTCGGTTTGATTTCATGGCCCACTCAGCTTTCCTCCCTGCAGCATACTACATGGCTGAATTTTTTAAATTATAACTCAATTCATTGTCAAGCCTCTTCCCCTCAAACACACTCAGCCAGGGGCATGGGTACACACACCCCAGAGGCACGGGTACACACACACACACACACACACACACACACACACACACACACACACACGTACACGCACGCGTGCCCAAGCGCAAGAAAGAGAGAGAGAGAGAGAGAACGTCCAGAGGTCACAGGATGGGCACCACCGTTGCAACACCCACCCATCTGAGCCACGGAGTAAGAGCCTGGGACCTTTTTATTTCCAGTCCATCACATTTCTTGGAACCTTCTAGGAAGCCACTAAAGACAAAAGCAAGAGGCAAGAATAGAGCTGAAGAGTTTCCAAGCCCAAACTGAAACGGAAATTTAAGAAAGCCATATGTTTAAGATTACTTTTTTAAATTGAAGACAATGTAATGAAATTTTTCAAAATATTTTAAAGCCAAAAAGTCACTTCAAATCGTACACCACTTACTCCTTTTCCCCAAACACCACAAATGTTTTCAGCAGGCACAGCCCGTCCGGCCTGGGTTCCCAGACACCCACTTCCCCTCAGAGAGCTGCCAGGTTTGTGAACATGCCTTCCCAGGAAATTACATTTTAAAATGGAAATGTTTAAAAAAAATAAAAGAAAAAGAAGGAAAACAAATGAAAATGTTGGCTTGTGCCCTCTAAAGGAACATGCAAGGCTAGGCCCTGTTTTCACTGCTCTGAACGGTTGATGAAGAGTCAATCTATAGGTGTCAGGCCACACAGTGCCTGGTTCACTGTGGTGTGTGTGTGGAGGCGGGGGTGGGTATGTGTTATGTACATGTGTGTGATGTGTGTTATGATGTGTGTGTGGTGTGTGTGTGGTATGTGGTGTATGTTGTGTGTGGTGTGTGTAGTGTGTGTGTGCTGTGTTGTATGTGTGGTGTGTGTGCCTGTATGTGTTGTGAATGTGTGCTGGGTGTGGTGCGTGTGTGCTGTGTTGTGAATGTACGGTGTGTGGTGTGCGTGTGTGTGTGTGCTCACTTCAGCTGCAGGGGGCATCACCAGCTTCCCTGGTGGGGCTCCCTGTCAGGCAGAGGCCCAGCCCAGCTCAGACACAGATGCTGCGCTTTTCCCTTCACAACTCAGTCTTCCTTCTGCGCCCAGGTGTCAGGAAGAGAGGGCCCGGCTGCAGGCGGAGCTGGAGCACAACCAACAGCAGGCTGAAAGGAAGGGTGCCATGTATGAGGAGGAGCTTGACGGGCAGCGGGACCTGGTCCAGGCCATGAAGAGGCGGGTGCTGGAGCTGATTCAGTAAGGGTGGGACACTGGGGACGGGGGCGCATGGTACAGCAGCTCTGGACCTTTTGTATGTACTAACTCATTTTCTGCTTTCAGCCATCCCCTGCTGTTATTCCCTTCTTTTTTTTCTTTTTATAAATTTATTTATTTTTGGCTGCGTTGGGTCTTCGTTGCTGCACACGGGCTTTCTTTACTTGTGACGAGCAGGGGCTACTCTTCGTTGCAGTGCGTGGGCTTCTCATTGCTGTGGCTTCTCTTGTTGTAGAGCACAGGCCCTAGGCATACAGGCTTCAATAGTCGCAGCACGTGGGCTCAATAGTTGTGGCTCGCGGGCTCCAGAGCGCAGGCTCAGTGGTTGTGGCGCACGGGCTTAGTTGCTCCGCAGCATCACATTGGCTTCTTTCACTTAGGAATATGCATTTAAGTTTCCTTCATGTCGTTTCTTTTCTTTTATTTATTTATTTATTTATTTTTGGCTGCATTGGGTCTTCGTTGCTGCATGCGGGCTTCCTCTGTTTGAGGCAAGCGGGGGCTACTCTTCGTCGTGGTGCACAGGCTTCTCATTCAGGTGGCTTCTCTTGTTGCGGAGCATGGGCTCTAGGTGCTCGGCCTTCAGTAGTTGTGGCACGCGGGCTTCAACAGTTGTGACGCGTGGGCTTAGTTGCTCTGCGGCGTGTGGGATCTTCCTGGACCAGGGTTCGAACCCGTGTTCCCTGCATTGGCAGGCGGATTCTTAACCACTGCACCACCAGGGAAGTCCCTATTCCCATGTTATAGATGAGAAAACCGAGGGTCAGAGAGGCTGGCTTGGCCACCAAGGACACACAGCATATAAGTTGCATAGAGTCCTCTGCATCTAAGGCAAGCTACCCTCCAACCCCCACATACACACACACCAACCAAGGTTAGGAGAAGGGAAAGGAGCCCATAGGTTAACCGAGAGGTAATCGCATGCCCTACACCTGCCTGCCTACTGGACTTCCTCAGACGATTGGGCCTGTGGCCCATCTTGGGTCAGCTGTCCTGGGTTCCAGAGGCTGAGCTCACCAGGATTAATCCTAAACCACTAAGCTCACTGCAGGATGGATGAAATGTGTAAAACCTGCTTTCTACCCTTCAGTCTAGTGAGGAGATAATTCACAGATATACATTATAGTTTCACCTCCTTCAGGAAATAGGACACCATTGGACTCAGGTTCCATTAGAATTGGAAGGTTACTGAGGGATCATCTAGGACTAAATCCTCTTGCACAAAATCCAAGTGATTAAAGATGAGAAAAGGGAGACATCAGCCTGGAAAGAACAAAGAATTTAAGGAATAATCTCCTCTGAGGAGCTGTCAACCGGGAGGAAGCTAATAAAAAATTAGCTATATATCTCACAAAAGAATTTAAGGTAGCTAACAATAAGACATATATATTGTGTATATGTGCATGCATACACAAACACCCCACACACACACACACACACACACACACACACACACACATATAGTTAAAGAAAAACAAGATTTAATGAAAGATGAAAAATATATACTCCTGAAGTGTTAGGGTTAGAACTTAGCTCTGAACATCTTGATAGCAGGATGGAAAAGGGAAACGCAGAAAGTTTCACTGTCCATTCAAAGGAGCAATACCAGTTCATCCGGAGAGACAAATGTTTTTCCTAGTGCTAAAGAAATTCATCACAAGGCCCCAAACCACATAACACAATGTTCCTCCCAGAAGCGTTGTGGAAGATATGGCCTTAAGTAAAAAAAAAAAGTTGGAGCATGAAGGTTGACTTCTGTGTCAAGATGGTAGACTGACCACACGTTATCCAGTCTCCATCCTGAGATCTCACTAAAATGACTGTAAAAGAATAAAACATAAGCAGAGAGAAAGGTGGAGGAGCCAACCACAAATGAGAGATTTCAGCTAATTTCCAGAAGCCAGAAAACAGATGGAAAAGTGGATTCTGGATTTAGCCCAGGTTAGAACTTCAGGGCCCAGAGGCACCAAGAACACAGATGGCAGAAGTGAGACGAGGGGCAGAAATCAGGAAAATTAACTGATAAAGTCATTAGAAAGAGCAGTGTACAACCCGTGCTTTCTGCCTGCCTCCCCCACTGCAGAACATCTAACAGTGAGGGGCCTATCACCCAGGCAAATAACTGAAAAGTCTTTCTCTAAAGAAAGCCCCAGATAAAAGAGCAGAGTGTTCTGGCATTTGAGAGTCTAGAGTGGCAGGTAGCTCGCTACCCAATCTCTCCAATCATCCCCTTCTACTCCCTGGAGCTCTAGCAGCTTTTATCGCCTCTTTCTTTCTTTTTTTTTTTTTTTTTTTTTTTTCATTTCGCAGTATGCGGGCCTCTCACCGTTGTGGCCTCTCCCGTTGCGGAGCACAGGCTCCGGACGCGCAGGCTCGGCGGCAATGGCTCATGGGCCCAGCCGCTCCGCAGCATGTGGGATCTTCCCGGACCGGGGCACGAACCCATGTCCCCTGCATCGGCAGGCAGACTCTTAACCACTGCGCCACCCGGGAAGCCCCCGATCGCCTCTTTCTTAAATATGAAATGACAACCAAGGATCCCCAGACATTTGAAGAGAGGCTAGAAAATAAAGGGGAGTGTGACAAAGGTAAACAAACAAACAAAAATGATCCATCTTCCATGATGCTGTGAAAAGCGACCATCAAAAGATGAGAAGCATTCTTGGAAATTAAAAATATGATCACTGAAATTATTTTTAATTCACTAGGATTAGAAGATAAAGATGACGCAGTCTCTCAGAAAGTAGAATAAAAGCACAGATAAATGAAGATATGAGAGAAATAGAGACATAGAGAATCAATCTAAGAGTTCTAATATCTTCTCCAACTGACAGGAATTCCACAAAAGAAAAGAATAAAAGGGAGGTGATTATCAGATAGAAAATATGAGACACTTTCCCAGCTCTGATGGACATAGATCTTCAGATTTAAAGATTTCACTGAGTGACCAGCACAATAAAGGAGAGGGGTGGGTGGTAAACTACATCTAGATACATCATTGTGAAATTTCAGTAAAACAAAGATAAGGAGAATATCCTAAAAGACAGGTCCACTTATAAAAGGAGTAGAACCCAACAAATGTTAAGACTCAATGGTGTAATCCTTTCAAGTTCTGAGAAAAACTGGCTTTTGCCCTAGAATTCTGTATCTAGCCAAACTAGGGAGCAAGTGGTGAGGTGATAGAGAAGAGACATTTTTTCAGATAGGTCACATAAAATTCACCTCCCACACATCCTTTCTTAGGAAGTTAATTAAGGATGTGCTCCAGAAAAACAAGGAAATAATCCAAGAATAGAGAAGATGCAGAATTCAGGGAATAGTAGCTCTAGCCCATGAGAGAAGAAAAGGGAATTCCCAAGATGACAAGGGGGCAGCAAGCCCAGGAAGCAGTCAGTTCAGGCTACAGCAGAAGTATTGAGGGCCCAGGAGGGAGGGCTCAGGGGAGAAGAGCATCAGAAGAATATCTGATATAATGAAGAATTAGGGGCGTGGGGGATTAGGCTATGTTAGAGGCAAGTCATGCAAAGAGCAAAGAAAGGCAATTAGAAAGTCCTAGAAAAACAGAAAATTTCCAAGAAGGGAAATGTTACATCTTAGCTTCAGTTGATGCAATATGCTTACATATTGTCTGATAATGTAAATACTATTCATTGATTTTTTTCAGTATTGGAATCAACCTAAAGGCAAAGCACCGAAAACAATCATAATTCTAGAACAAACCTAAATGTTACCACCTAAACAATATTAACTATAGAACAGAACCCAACAGGAATTTCTGTGAAGATGGAAATGTCCTGATTTTGCCCTGTCCAATAGGGTAGCTACTAGTCCCACGTAGCGATTGAGTACCTCAGTGGCTGGTGCAACTGAGGAACTGAAGTTTTAACTTTATTTAACTTTAATTAAGTTAAATATACACCTGATATCACTTATATGTGGAATCTAAAAAATACAACAAAGTAGGGCTTCCCTGGTGGCGCAGTGGTTGAGAGTCCGCCTGCCGATGCAGGGGACGCGGGTTCGTGCCCCAGTCCGGGAAGATCCCACATGCCGCGGAGCGGCTGGGGCCGTGAGCCATGGCCGTTGAGGCGTCCGGAGCCTGTGCTCCGCAAATGGGAGAGGCCACAACAGTGAGAGGCCCGCATAACGCAAAAAAAAAAAAAAAAAAAAAAAAAAAGTAGTGAATTAAACAAAAAGAAGCAGACTAACAGATATAGAGAACAAGCTAGTGGCTACCAGTGGGGAAAGGAAAGGGGGAAGGGACAAGATAGGGGTAGGGGATTTTTTTTTAAAGGGGGTTATTGTGGGATTACATGAAATCATGTGTGTGAAACTTTTGAAAATTGTAAAGTACTATAGAATTTAAAGAATCATTAAATTAATAAATAAAATTAAAAGTTAAATATACATCTAAATAGCCACATGTGGCTAGTGGCTACCACATTGGGTGTTGCAGGAATAGGTAAGTTAGGAGGTTGAGAAGGAGGAAAGCTGAAGGGCAGGGATGCTGGCACCATCTTAGTACAGAATGGCAGTCGTATGATGCTATCTATAGTCAATGAATGAGCGAGAAATAAATGTCTGAGTATATTCTGTAAAATTCCAACAGTAACCAATAGAAGAACCAAAAATGGGGATATAACTGCACTGGGAGGAAGGAGGAGGAGTTAGTGAGGATGGTAATAAATAACCCACATCCTCAAATGTTAAGACTCAATGGTTGTTATGCTTTCAAATTCTGAGAAAAGCTGACTTTTGCCCTAGAATTCTCTATCCAGCCAAACTAGGAAGCAAGTTGGGGAAGTGACAGAGGAAAGACATTTTTTCAGACAGACAGGTCACATAAAATTCACCTCGCACACTGCCCTTCTTAGGAAGTTAATTAAGGGTGTGCTCCTTGTGATATCAAGGAGCTCTATGGAAGACGTTCTTTCTTGATAAATCACGGAGGAGGAATATGAGCATATTACTTAAATATGGAAATAATATCAAGGAGAAAAAGCTAAAGCATGTAAGAAGTGGTTTGCCACTGAGTGTGGGAAGGAGGTATATCTATTGCCTTTTGATATAAGTCCTTCCATACTGTTCGATTTTTAAATCGTACGTGTGTATGTCATTTTGATAAAAATGTTGAACAACCCATATTCCTAAACATTCTTTAAAAAAACAGGATAGTTTTGCAGGAGCATAAACATATGTAACTACATATGGTACACGTCTTTCTCCATCACTATGTCTCTTTCTTGGTCTCTCCATCTTTCTCCATATTTGGCTCCCTCTCTGTCTGTGTCTCCATCCCTGTCTGTCTCTGCATCTTTTCCCCTGTGTCTTTCTCTCTCCCTCTACATTGATCTCCCTGTCTGCTTCTCTGTGTGCCTCTGTCTCCTTCTCCAACTCCCTGACTTCCTTTTTGTCTCTCTGTGTGCCTGTCTCTCCGTCCCTTTTTGTCTCCCTCTCCATTTCTGTGTCTCTTTCTGCTCCACTGTCTCTCATCTCTTTTGTTCTCTTTATGTGTATATCTCTGTGTGACTCCCTCTCTGTCTCTCTTTTCTTTGTTTCCGTGCATCTCTTTCTGTCCCTCTGTCTCTCCATCTGTGCATTTCCATATTTCTGTCTTTGTGTGTGTGTGTGTGTGTGTGTGTGTGTGTGTGTGTGTGTGTTCACCTCCACCCACCCATCAGAGAGAAGGATAACCTGTGGCAGAAGGTCCAGCATCTCTCTTCCTTGGCCCCTGGATGCTGTGTTGTCTGTAACAAGATCTTTGGTCGGCTGTCTCGGCGGTACCTGTGCAGGTAATGGGTGGGGGGGTACAGAATCCTTCCTCTGGGACAACCCAGTTTCCACCAGCCCACAGCCCGCTGCCCACTCCAGGGAAGAGAGGGACACAGGAAATAGGCATTTATGAAAGGTCACTTAAAGCTGGCTACTCATTTTACCCGACATTTTGCAGACGTGAACAAGAACAGTGGAAAGGGGACAGACAAGGAATGGCATCTGGAAGATGGGACTGGGTAACCCTTCCACAAATAGACTGATTAATCGATCAGCTCATCTCATCTGGGAAGAGATTTCCTGTACAGAGGAATCTGCTTCCCTCACCTTGCCCTGGAAACACAGTGGCAGGACAAACAGCAAGAGCGAGGACAGTGGGCTGTCAAGAGAACCTGCCATTTGGAGTTAGAGGACCCTGGAGGGGTGGGGCATCGGGACCCCTTTTAGGAAAGGGAAGGCCTCCTGAGACAGACCCAGGGCCATTCTTCTGGGAGATGGGAAACACACAGGTGGACACAAAGGTGCTCGAACCCCATGACCCCCTCCCCCATACACACCCACACATACCCACTCTTCTGCTTCTGCTCCCCAGGCTCTGCGGAGGCCTGGTTTGCCATGCCTGCTCTGTGGATTTTAAGAAGAAGGAGTGCCACTGCCCACCCTGCTCCCAGAGGAGAGAAGCCCAGGTCCTCTGACTGAGACCCACCCACCCCACCTGATCGGCCGTCCCCTCGGCCCTTCCCAGCCCTCTGGTCTGACCAGTCCTGCCTTCTAGAAGTTGGCCATCTAAGGTGGAGAGCACTTGAGTGGACAGACCGTGGTGTGGAAGATGGAAGGAGCCGGGCTGGCAGTCAGCAAAGAGGTTCTAACCCTGCGTCTCCCACTGGGTGACTTTGGCAAAGCTGTCAGGCTTTTTCCATAACATGAGGGAGTGGGCACCATCCTCTCTAAAGTCCCTGCAGGCTCAAAGTCCTTGTCCAAGAATAAGGCCCGATGGCCCTGACGTTGCTCCTCTGCATTCCCTTCTCAGCCAGCCCATCCTTCATGATACACGGGAGCTTCCTGTCTGCAGTCTCCTTCGGAGGTCTGCTTTCATCCTTAACAGCTTTCTTTAGGTACTATTAATGTATAATACATTTCACATAAACCTGATGAGTACAGTCTGATGAGTTTTGCCTTTAATATACACCCTGAAGCCATCACCATATTCAAAATAATAGACACATCCATCAGTCCAGTTTCCTTGTGCCCTTTGTCATCTCTCCCTCCCCCCACCTCTCCCCATCCCCGGGCAACCACTTACTTGCTTTCTGTCATTAGAGACTAGTTTGCATTTTCTAGAATTTTGTATAAATGGAATCATACAGTATATTCTCCTTATTATCTGCCCTCTTTCACTTGGCATAATTATTTTATCATCCGTGTTGTAGCATATATCAAGTTCCTTTTTACTGTTGAGTAGTATTCCACCGCATGGATATATCCCAATTTATTTACACATTCACCTGTTGCTGATACTTGGGTTGTTTCTAATTCCAGGCTATTACAAATAAGTTTCCCATCTTCACCTGTGTACAAGTCTTTGTATAGACATATACCTTTATTCCTCTTGGGTAAATGCCTACAAAATGAAATGGCGAGGTGGTATGGTAAGTGTATGTTTAACTTTTAAGAAATGGCTGAGGGCTTCCCTGGTGGCACAACGGTTGGGAGTCCGCCTGCCGATGCAGGGGACACGGGTTCGTGCCCCGGTCCGGGAAGATCCCACGTGCCGCGGAGCGGCTGGGCCCGTGAGCCATGGCTGCTCAGCCTGCACGTCCAGAGGCTGTGCTCCGCAGTGGGAGAGGCCACAACAGTGAGAGGCCCGCGTACCGCGAAAAAAAAAAAAGAAAAGAAAAAAAGAAATGGCTGAGTTATTTCCTAAAGAGATTGTACGTTGTACCTTCCCACCAAGAGAGTGTGGGAGTCCCAGTTACTCCCCAGGGTGTCTGGTTTGGTGGGCAGGAGGGGAGGCTTGAGCCTCTCTGCCCTTCCCTTCCAACGACTGTGCTGACCTGATGGGTCCCAAGTTGTGAGCACCCAGAAGAAGGGGCTGATCTAGGTAACCCTCTATGCAGTGCTTACTCAGCTAGACTTTAATATTAAAGACAGTTGATGAGGACTCGTTTAGCTCCATGGTACAAGATCATATCCCCTGACTGCCCAAGAAGTCTTACACGAATTATGATCATTCAGTGGCCACCCAGTTGTGGTACTTTTGACAACGCTGTTTCAGAAGAAGTGTGGGCCCCACTGTATGACAAGGCGATTAGCTGCCCTAGCTGGGCTCCAGGGCACACTTTGTGGTCCCAAAGAGGCATGCATGCTATCTCTGTCCCCTCTGCCTCACGCAGACTGCCAAAGCCTCTGCAGCGGTTGGGCAACCCTGTCAATCTGACCAGAGCCCATGGACCACCCCTTGGGGTAGGCCGCCCAAAGTTGCATCCCATTACCATCTCAAGGAGGAAGAGTTTTGTAACAGCAGTTCCTGCCCTGGAGAGCTGGTGAGAACTTCTCCTTATCAAAGGCAGCGACGAGGTGGGGGGCAGGGAATGGAGGGAGTAAGGGGCGGAGCTGGGGCTCCCGGAGAAATCAAGACAATAGAATCACCCCTGCCCTAAAGGACAGCGGTCCCTTTCTGGAGGTTCGACTTGCTCAGATACGTTTATTAGGGCAGGTTCTTATTACAGCAGAATACATCACATTCTAGTAGGAACTCCAGCATGGAGTTCAGACTTACCTGAGGAACTGATGGGGGAGAGGGGACCCAGCTGAAGCCTATGTTCTACGAGGTAGCAAGATGATCCTGGACAAGAACAGGAGGAAAACGGGCCAGGAATGGGGGAGCTTGACCTTCACCCCCTGTTTGGGAGGGATGGAAGGGCAATGCTGAAGACCAGCCTCTAGCTCAACACTGCCCCCCAAAGAGTCCCCACCAAGTCCAATGGAGAGCACAGAAGCTCCACAAAGATATTGGGAAGCTCATTAGACTCTGGGGACCCTCCAGCAGAAGGTTCCACAAGGGTCACCATAGACTATCCCAGAGCGTGGCAATGAAAGGGCACCAGTTCCCCAGTGGTGAGTCCAGAGCACACGTCTAGCCCAGCAGTACCAGAGGAGCACCTGGGGGACACCTCCAACAGACTCTCCCAAATTCCTGGGGCGCATTCTACGGGAGGGGGAAAGCCCTGCATGAACACATGGGGTCTGAAACAGTGCAATCTGGGTTATCGCTGTTGAAGTGACTTCATTTGTGCTCACAGGCTGGGGGTGCCCTGGGAAATATGGGCTACATAATTATTTCTTTAAATTAGATGTCACTCGGATGCACTAACGTACATTGGTTTCCTCACTTTGTCAGTTCATTCAGTGCTCAACAAAATGATATCAAGCACCTAGGGTTTGCCAAACACTGTGTGTGTCTGGTTTGGGGAGACGAAAATTTCACATATATATCTATATATATGAAATCCCTGCTTTCAAGAACCTCACATCAAGGAGGAGGAAGCAGCCAAACTGATGATTATAAATCCCCGAAATTGATGCCATTGTAGAGGTAAGCCCGGGGATGCAGAGGAGCACAGAGGGGGGCGGCAATGCATGGAGGTGACGACTGGGCTGAACTGGAAAGGAGAGAGAGCTGGCCAGCCCAAGCGGGTGGGGATGAGGAAAAGGGAAATGAGTGCCAAGGCCCAAGCAGAACCAGAACAGCTCTGAGGGGGAACTTCAGGTCATTCCCTGTGGCCAGAGTTAAGGATACAAGAGGGCATTGTCTGAAATAAGGCTGGAGAAGCACACAGGGTCAGATGCAGGGGCGGCAGGTGCTGTTTTCAAGGTTCATCTGTGTTGTAGCTTGTATCAACCCTTCATTCTTTTTATGGCCAATATACTACATTTTTTTTTTTTTTTTTTGGCCGCACCGTGCGGCTTGTGGGATCTTAGTTCCCCAATCAGGGATTAAACCCAGGCCCACCACAGTGAAAGCGCCGAGTCTTAACCGCTGGACTACCAGGTAATTCTCTCAAATTCACATTTTAGGAAGATGGTTCTGGTAGAGAGTGGGGGATGGATTGAGGGAGGAAAGACTTGACACAGAGAGCATTTAGGAAAATAGTGGTCTGGTAGCGTTGGTAGTAGCAGTAGCAGCAGCAACCAACAGTGCCAAGCACCATGCCAACTGCTTTATAAATATAGACTCATTTAATCCACATGACAATTCTATGCAGTGGGTGCTCCCATTATCCCCATTTTACAGATGATGAAACTGAGTCCAGTGACATGAAATAACTTGCCCGAGGTCTACAACCACTGACATTGCTGGGATCCTAACACAGACAGTCTAGCTCTGAAATCACAGCCATCCCATGACGAACGCAGTAGTTTAGGCAAGAGAAAATAAAGAGGGACCTAACATCATCAGTGAAGACGGTGAGGAAGAGATAATCAAGAGAGATGTTAAGGAGATGGCATCCGTGGAGAGGAAGAGCAAGGCAAGCGTGAGGGGCACGCCTGTTTCCGGGTTAAGGAGGAGGGGCACCCGTGTCAGGGAATTCCGTGAGACCAGTTTTCTACATGTTGAGTTTGCAGCATCTGTGGGACCTCAGAGGAGATTCAGGAAGTGATTAAATGTAAGAATTTGAGCTTAAGGAGAAGCTTAGAAGAGAAGCTGGGAACTATAGGTGTAGGAGACACTGGCACATACTGGGTGGGGGCTGAAGCCAAGTAGGCAGGAGGACTAGTCTAGGGAGAACAGGTAGAGAAGAGGACCGAGGCAGACTCTGAGGAACATGCATATTTGAGGAATGAATTGAGAAAAAAAGTAACAAATAAGACCAAGAGAAGTTCTCTGAGCAATAAGAAAACAGTGGGACCAGTGGGGTTAAATGGTTCAGAGATCAAATAAGATAAGGCTTGAACGGTATCCATTTCACCGTAAATACAGTTAAAAAGCATACAGCAGGCTGGGAGAAGATATTTTACCATGATTGACAAGTATGAGACAGTATGAGTAGACAGGGTAACAGGACCTTTTATAAACTGGTAGTAGGAGAATACACTGCAACAGTCTTTTTGAAGTGCAATGAGTAGTATTTATCAACATATCAACGTGCACAGTTATGACCCAGCAAAATTATACTTAAGCTACTGAAATACTCGTACAAGTTTCCAAAGATCAATATCCAAAAATGTTCATAGTGAGAACCTAAATATTCATCTATAGGGTAATAATCAAATAAGTCAGGTTATGTCCTTGCCATGGGCCATTATGTTATCACTGAAAAGAGTAAGATGGATCTATATGTACTGATGTGAAATAGGTACAAGATACATTGTTAAAGTGCAGAACAATATAACTAGTTAAATACTATTTTATTAAAGAAGGAAAAAACATGTTTGTATGTGCATGGGGGGAAGTCTGGAAAAATATTCACAAGACACAGGTGAACAGAAGGATGGAAGAGAATCACATTTTACTTTATATGCTTTTTACCACCTGTTTTCTTTACAGTATGCACAGTTTATTTTTATAATATGAAAACAGCTTTATTTAAGAAAAGAGTTTACTGGATTTAGCAACCCTAGGTCACTGGGGACATTGGCAAAAGCTGTTTCCTCAGTACAGTGGGCAGGAAGCTGGTTGCAGTGGGTTGAACAG